AAAGGTAAATAACTTACATCATCTGGTCCAAGGTGGTCGATGAGGTTGCGGTATTGAATTAAAGAGTGCCTGGGATATCTCTGATAATTCATCCCTAGAACAGACCACCTAAAAAAAAGAAACACATATAAGTTAGCATCTAAAACACATCTCACAAATTATTAACTTACAAAGAAAATTTGGTTGGTAAATAGACTTGAAAAGAAACTTACTTGTTGGCGTACGGGAATGTAAACGGATTCTGGTTTACCAGAGAAAGCGTTGGCATCCTAGACCAATCCCACGTTTGTAGGAGATATGCGCAGCCATAGAAAGTAGAGGAATTTTTTTTGGAATTTTTACTCTCATGTTATAGCAGCATGTTCGAAGGCGCGCTAGGACCCAATCAACCTTCTTTCTGCAGTTCACCAAGTGATAAGTCTATGCAATGTCTACACATATAGCTTTCAGGTGGTCGCAAAGGAGGACTATTGGCCTCAATACGAAGGCAAAATTGTGTGGCATAATGACTTGATGCGCAAAAAGAAAAAGGGTCGGCCTAACAGAACGCGGATTCGAACGGAGATGGATACCGCAGACAAGCTGGTAAGATTATGTAGTTCGTGTCGGCAACCATGACACAATCGTACAAAATATCCTAACGTGTGATCAAGCAGCAAATCATAGTTTCATATGTAATCGTTTCTCTTTAAATCAATAGCGAATTTCATTCGATTAAAAGCATACTTAACTGATTACAATTAGAAAGCAACATAAATTAAACAAACATAACTTAATATCACAACAACATTCTGAAAATAACAACAACATAAAGACATAAAACAAAACATTGCACCAAGGCGTCCACGATATCACGACCATCAACATTATCTTCTTTGGTGTTAGCATCATCACAAGGACACCAACATCATTTTCCACTTTCCTCCATTCACGAGTAACTCCGTTTCTCCCAGCCTCCTCGACCAACCTCTCAATTTTCCTAATCTTTTCTCCTGGAGCAATATCTCCTTCTAGCCAGCGGTTCAGTTTCCTATGCAAGTGCCCCAACGTCTGCGTATTCCATAGGAGCACCTTTATCGGAGGCTTTGTTGCTGAAAAGACAACTAGGGCATTCCTTTTCATTAGATCGGATGTTAGAAAGGGTTCCTCCGATGCTGATGACGACGACGAAGAACATTGATTTAGAAATGCAGACATTTTAGACTTCACTCCACTTAAAGTGCACTAACACTTCAGTCTTTTGGTATACAATGTTGTGAAAACATATATGTGTTTGCAGTCGTATTTATAGAAAAATAAAATAGTACGTGCCCCATATGATATGTCTTAAATACCCTTACAAACTTTACACACTTTAAAATTCAATGGTTAATCAATTTTTATGTTTTAAAATTTATAATTTAAATCAATTTATATGCTTTAAAATTAAATGGTTAATCAATTTTTATTTTGTATTTAAATTAATTTATAATTAAATTTTTAAAAATATTTATAATTTAAAAACATTAATTATTACTTAAAAACTTTATTTTAAAATTATATCATTAAACCTAAATGTATAAAAACAATATTTATTAAACCTAAATTAATAAAATTAATTTAAGTTTATTTTTAATTAAACCTAAATTTATAAAATCAATTTAAGTTTATTTTTAATTAAACCTAAATTTATAAAATCAATTTAAGATTATTTTTAATTAAAATTTATTATTTAAAAGTTTTATTTCAAAATTATATGAAAAAAAACGTAAACCCTAATTTCTAATCAACTGAGTCGCCATTCTGATGGGTGAATGCTCTTAGGCCCAAAATCACCTTCAACAATGTTGCCAATCTGTTTGGTGAATTCTCTTAGGTCCAGAATCAGTTTCAACAATGTCGTCAATTGACATGGCGACAGAAGGTTGATTCTTAGCTATTTTTTGAAATATTCATTTAAATGGTAATTTAAATTTAATATATGGTTATTCTAAAAAAAATCCTTTTATGCAAATAAAATATTTTCATTATTTTTTATTTTATTTTACATGTTGATACAGATGTTTAATATAATGATACTATTAATATGTTTACTGCATTAAATAAAAAGGGATAGACATAAGGAGATTAATGTGTTTCTTTTAAATGATTTGATTAAAAAATAAAATCATGAATTTTAATTGGACTTACTGAGAAAGTCAGTGTTAATGATAGTAACTTGGGAAAGGAGGATTCATTTAATGTTTGCATGAGAAATGTTGCTCAGATGGGACACATTCCTGATGAGGGGACATGTTTACTTGGGTTTAATCAAGCGGCTTCTGCAAAAGTAGATTGGACATGATACTTCTGTTGGATGATTTGGATAGATTATGGAGTGTTGTTGCTCAGAAGGTGGGAGATAGAGATGTCTCAGACCATAAGCCGAAATGGTTATTGGCAAATACTGTGGTTTAATTTAATATCTGCAGAGAATGTTGGATGTTGAGGATGATGTTGGAACTGTTAAACATACTATCCAAGAACCTTTTGCAACAAAGTTCTAATGCTCTCAAACCTGCTGGCCAGACATGGATTTGTCTGAACTTGTCAAGTTGTTTCCTGATGATAATGAAATGCTTCAAGAAACTTTTTCTATTGAAGAGATTATTAAAGCTATAAACTCTTGCGACGGGAATAAAAGCCCGACCTGGATGAGTTTAAATATGACTTTTATTAAGAAAAGCTGAGAGGTGATTGGAGTGAAAATTACAAACTACATAACTAAGTTCCACTGGACTGCTTTCTTGCCAAAAGCAGCATGTTCATCCTTTATTGCTCCTATCCCAAAAAGAGGTTGGCCACAAAACTTGAATGAATTCAGGCCCATTAGCTTAATTGGAAGAATTTACAAAATTCTATCCAAAATCTTAGCAGCAAAATTTAGTAAGGTGATTGAAAAATAAGTTTGTTTGTCGTAAACGACTTTTAACCCAGGACGACAAATTCATGATGGAGTACTTGTAGCTAATGAACTCCTAAACTTTGCCATTAAGAAGAAGAGAAGTTGTTTAATGCTCAATGTGGACTTTGCTCAAGCGTACTACTACGTTGATTATGGATTCTTGAAAAAGGTATTGGAGGCAATGAACTTTGGTGAAAAATGGCGTAATTAGATAAGAGGTATGACATGTTCTAGTTACTTATCTATTTTGGTAAATAGGAGTACGACGAAAGACAAGGCGGTCAACAAGGCGGTCAACATAAGCATTCTAAGGGGATTTGAGATTGATGCAGTCACTTTCATCGACATTCTTCAATTTTCCGACTATACATTGATTGTTTGTGAAAATTCTTAGTCAAACTTGTGGGACATTAAATCCATTCTTCGAGGGTTCGAATTAATTTTCGGATTGCAGATTAACTTCTTGAAAAGAAACTTATATGGTGTGGGGTTAGCAGAATCATTTTTAAGAGCGGCATCTCAATTCTTGGCGTGTTTCCCTCCAAATTTTAGGGCTGACCATTGGAGACAAATTACATACATGATACTTCTAAACATATCATTTGGAAATTTAGGACATTGAAATCTATCCGTACTTAGCTTTAAGTCCAAGGTCTCCAGCTCCCACATTCCAACAATTCACAATCCAAATCTCTCTTTTCAAATCTTTTTGGTATCAACAAGTCCCTTTCAAAGTTAAAATTTACCTTAGCTGCAGCCAACTTTGCCTAGTGCCTCTCTGTTTCAAGCTCTAGAGCTACCACATTCTCCTTTAGATTTTCTATTTCCACAGCTTTAACCAAAAATAAATTAACACGAATCAAATGTTGTAACAGACCTGATCTGACCTGGTCAGAAGGGGACCAAGGACTTGCCACACGCTATTAATCTGTTGTCTGTTCACCGGTGTTGAAAAGGAAATGGGGGGTGTACATGCAAGACACTCCGATGTTAAAGTAAGAGTTTGGACAGAGGGACAGCAAAATACAGAAAAAGGGGGTAAGAAGAGAATATCTGACCATCTTGGAGAATAGAGTATTTATAGAGAGACCCCAGCGCAGGGCCAACGGTCGTTTGAGTTGGGCTAAATGGCCAGGCCCAACCCAAGTGACTGTTAGGGCTTACGTGGCGTAGTGAAGACCATAACGTGGTCTTCGCCCTAGTTCAACTGCTCCATGAACTCCGAAAAGTGGGTTGACCTGCTCTTTCGGAGGTGGGCTGTTGGTGGATGATGTGTCCCCGCGGAGGAGAGCACGTGGAGAACGTGTGAAGGACACTTGTTCTGCTCGACAAGGGAGAAGGTCCTGCCCGCAAAGGGACATAGCTTATCCGGCAAGGACTCTGTACTCGACGGCTGTGGCCCAAGCTAGATTGAGCTTGGCAGAATATCATTGGGCTGAAACTGCCCGATCAAGCCAGGGTACAGGCCAAAACAAGACGTATCTAATACTATAATACAAATCAAATTAAGAGACCTATCTAATACTAAAATAAATTAAGACATGTAAATATGAGATTAATCTCAAGTTTGATCAAGTTTAATGTTGTAAGAGACCTGTATCTAATACTAAAATATGAATCAAATGCTATTTGCAAGGCTTATCAAAATGAATAACTTGAGAAAATTTATTTCCATTCTAAATCATTGTTTTCTTCTTAAAACACTCAAATTGTACACATTAATTTGTTTTGGCAAGTGAAAGTCACACTTCGTGTTCTTAGTATTTTGCAAAGAAGTGTATGTGAAAATTATTTAAGAACTTCAGTTATAAAATACAAAATTATTTTTGGAAATTTGAAAATAAACATTTTGTAACTCTCCCTGCAACAATATAAACTCGCATATACATCTCCAACAACAAAAAATGACAAGACGACTTCAAGGAAAGTAGTATAGTGCCATCATTGTAAACACAGGTTGAAGAATAAATGAGGCATATTAATCAAAATACATTCCATTTAATATTTTTCAACATAAAAATAAACCGTAATATTGAAATCAAACAAAATTCAACTATAGATAGACCTATGTCAAGATTTAAAATCCACATCCCAATTTAGAATCTAAATCTATTTCTTTGAGGCCTTTTGCTTTCAACAAATCTATTTCTATGTCCATATTAAACTCATCAGTAACCAACTTTTCCTTTAGCCTAGCCGTTTCAAACTCTAGAAATATTATTTTCTCCTTCAACTTTTCAACCGATAGAACTTTCTCCACAAAAAATTTCATTCCTAAGGCAGATTGAGCATGAGGCTCTAACCAAGTAAGATCAAATTTAAACTTTGCAAGATCACACCATAAAGCTTGAAGTTCCTTACATGCTTGTTCATTCATGTCTTTCACTTTTCTACTCTTGAGGAAATAAATAACTCGCCCAATTGCCGCAAACCCTAATTCTGCATCGGGATCTTTAGTTAGGTCATGTGTTTGTAAATTTGGCACTGAGTCCTCCACTTCCATATAACCGGTTTGATTTTCAAAAGTGAAGTTACTTGCTTGACTAAGTTGTTTCTCATAAGTTGATTTATAAACAATAATTTCTACACCAACAATACAACCATCATTCACAATAAACACATTTTCAGGATCATGAAATTCAACTAATGGCATGAAGCAATTCCAACCCCAGGAAACGTTACTCGCTTCAAACATGGTCTTACATTCTGACAAGTTCAAGACTTAAAAAATGTCAAGACGTTTATATTGAGTGAATGTTTAAACCTATAAATAACGAATTCCATATTGTAAAATTACCTTTTATAATTGAGAAGTTGGTATTAAACTGGTTGAATACAGCTAACTTAAATTTGACATGTCTGCTCCATCCATCAGACATACTAGCAGTTTTCACCGCCTCCAAATATATTGATAAGTAGTTGTCTTCCTTGTTCCCCTTTGGATACAGATTAATTTTCCTAAATTTAAACCAAAACCGAATCAGATTAATACTCGCTGTATTCAATAAATTTTAATACTACGTAGCAATTCATTCAAATGAATATAAACCATGGATATCCGCATAGAACAAAATACTCGTGGTAAACGCTTCTGTTAAACCGAGAGAAGTTCTCAATCTTGCATGTAAATTTCTCAAACTTCTCAACACCCAATTCTTTATGCTCCTCCATTTCTGTGATATCGAAATGATTTTTAATTAACTGATATTGATAATTAACTGCAACAAAATCAAAATAACAAACTTGGAATGAAAAGTCAGAATATATAAAAAGCATTTAAAAAAAATCGTGAAAATGGTAAGAAAAAAAGAGCCCCATACCCGTCAGTCACGCATAAGAGTAAGATCAATCGTAGATAGCAGCAGCTGCGATTCCTTTATTTATAGAAAAAATGGAGATAGTTTTCGTGTGTTGAGTAACGCAATAAGCAGAAGCAGTAATGAAGTACTACTACTGATACAAGTACCAGTAACAGCGATTTAGCTCTCGAGAAAGGGCACAATTTACTAGATTATTTTTCTAAATATAAAACCTCTTCATTTTATCTTTTTGCTCCTACTAGCTATTTTTATTTTTTACCTTTTCTATTATTTTTTAATAGTGTATTTTTAATTACATGAAATACATAAATTAATTTTTATAATAAAAAAAAAAGATTAATTTTTAAAATGTTAAATATGTTTGTGCTCCTCTAAATATATTAAATTTTGTTTTAAATTTTTAAATTTTTTTTTAAGAATGGTTTTTTTAAATATTTAAAATTTTGTTTTTAATATTTTAAAATATTTTTTTAAAAAAATTTGGTTATCCATACTTTTGATCTCTCCCATAACTAAACAACAAAATTAACGAAGAATAATTAGTTAACGGTTAAATTAGCGATAATTTTATCGACAATTTTAATATTTTGGATCAAAAGCGTCGTTAAATTTTTTAGGAGAATCATTCTATGAAAAAAATATTTTGAAATATTAAAAATAAAATTTGAGATATTTAAAATAATCACAAATATATTTAACTATTTTTTTTATAAAAAAAATCTTTTATAATAAGACCAGAGAGTGTATATATCTATTAATAAAACATATATGCAAACTACCAATAATGTATTTCACTTAAAAAAAAATTTACTCCTGCAAAAGATCAAAATAATAAATAAAAAAATTATAAGAGATGCTACTAAGTGTTAAGTTTCTATTTAATACTCTCTCCGTCAAATTATAAGAGACAAAAAATACTTTTTTTTTCCCAAAATATAAGAGAAAAAAACTCAATTCTAACCCTTTAAATTTATTTTTCCAAAGATACCTTTAATAATTCTTGATTTTTTGAGACATATAGAGCCATTTTCATCTATATGGACAATATTATAAATGTACTTAACTTTAGATCATAAAAAATGCTACTTTCCTCAAACATGGACAGACAAAATCTAAGATTCATTTCATATTATTTTTCTTTAAATACGGTCTTAGGTCTTAATTCGCTAAAATGCACAAAATCTAAGATGTCATTTCATATTATTTTTCTTTAAATACGATCTTAATCCACTAGAATGTCGGCGCAAAATCCCTTCTTTTTTGTAAACCAACAATCATGTTTTTATTAAAACCTAAGACACGTCCTAAAACTCTATAAGAGCAACTTTAGTGCAGGGTTGTAAAACCAAAATTCTTTATATTTTACGTTAGTAATAAGAAATTTGAATTATAGTAGAGCTGACATGACATATAGGATGCTCTAAAACTAGTTTACGTGCTCTACACAAACAACGTCTCTAACTTATTATTTAACATAAATAATAGATTTTTATTAATTATTTAACATAAATAATTGATTTTTATTAACCATTTAATAGTAAGTTTGAATTCCTTATAAATAATCACCATTGAAATAAAAATTTCTTAATTCAATTTTGAATTGCTTAAATCTTTCATGTCAATTTGGACTCACATAAAATAACTTAGTTCATCTAATTTAATTGCTCCTATTAAAGATGCTCTAAGTACTCTACTTATTTAACGCAAAATCACGAACCTTTTTAATATCTATCTCAATTTTTGTTGCAACCACAATTTTTTGTTTTTTATGGCAACCATAGCTGGTTTCATGTATTTATTTTCAAATCTGATAAATGACATGTATAGAGACGGAATAAAATATAGCTAACCTTGTTGGATATTATTTATGAATGAACGTTTTCTTTAAATCGATTTTGTCTCATGTCGATCAAATTTTCCACTGCATAATAAAAAATTAAAAAAATTAAAAATTAAAAAGTTGATGCAAAAATAATAGATTATGTTCTAAATAAATACAGTAAGTAATAAAATGCCACCACCAATATCAACTCTCAACATATAGAGAATTAATAAAATTATTGTTTTTTTTATGAATAGTGTTACAAAATTATGGTATAAATAACATTTTATAATTATTGTAACACATGCATAAATATACAATGTTTCAAATTGAAAATTATTCTGTGATAAAATTAACATTGCATGCGTTAAATTGTTGTTTGAAAACTATTGTTTGAAAAATTAACATTGCATGCAATAATTTTAGATTTTTAGTAGAAGGTATTTTGTGATAAATCGATAGAAATATATTATTTTTCGATGAAAAGAGAATGTTTATTTATATACAAGTGGATTTCTATACAGGGAATGCAATCATATTTTATCTTATTTCATTATGAATAATATGAGCACATAACAAATATTATCATCAACAATATATTATGACAAAAAAGCTACAAAAAGTGATAGAAATTGCAGTACTTTCTTTGGTTAGTGTCGAGACGTCTTGCTCGACAACTACATCAGCATTTTGATCATGTTGAACTTCTAAAATGGTGGTAATGAAAAAAATACAGGAAAATGTAACATTTAGGTAGTTATTGAATCAATGAGAGAGAAAGGTTAGTGTATTGGAATTGGAATAACATGGAATAGAGAGGATATAGTGAGACTAACGTGCTACAACAAATGAGAGAGAGGATAATGTGGGCTATGCAATAAAAATGAGAATAACTTACATTAAAAATTAATTAAATAATAAGAAGGATAATTTAGGAAGTGCAAAGTAAATTTTTAGACTATTAAATGGTTTTCTTAATGTGTGTTTTTTTTTTCTTTATAATTTAGGACGATGGAGTATTTTTCAACTTTCACTTTTTCGTCTACTTCCCACTCTTTCACTAACCTCATTCTTCTTTCAAACTAAATTCATTTTGTTTATATACTTTTTTTATTTCATTTTTTTTATTTTATCTTTTCGATTTAATTATTGATTCTTCTCCCAATTATTTTTAATATATTAAAATATATAAATATAATAGATAATTATCATATTAAATATTTATTGATGTATAAATATATACAATATTGACATTTAGTTTGTTGTTACGACATATTTAATAAATTCTATTTATTTATTATTATTAAAAATATTAAATAATTCATTTTTAAATTTTGATAAAATCAAGAATTTATTTTATGAAAGAGAAATGCTAACCGTAGTCATACACACAAGTAACTTTTTATTTCATATATTATTATCAAAAAAATATCTATTTTATTTTAAAAAATAATTTTATTATTCGAGATACAAATGTCAAAATTTCTCTTTTTCTCACATGTCATTATTAACAAAATACCTATTTTATTTTAATTAACATTTGTCTTCATTTGAGACACAAAATTTTAATTTTTAAATAACAAAATTTCTCTTTTACTCAAAGGTCACTATTTGTAAAATACCTATTTTATTTTAATTAACAATTGCTTTTATTTGAGACACTGAATTTTTATTTTCAAATTTTAAAATTTATCATTTTCTCACGGGAAACTATCAGCAAAATACTCATTTTATTTTAATTAACAATTGCCTTTATTTCAAACACAAAATTTTTGTTTTCAAATATCAAAAATTCTCTTTTTTTTCACAGGCTATTATCAGCAAAATACCTATTTTATTTTAATTAACAATTGTCTTTATTTCACACACAAAATTCTTATTTTAAAATGTCAAAAAATTTCTTTCTTTTACGAGCCACTATCAATAAATATTTATTTTATTTTAATTAACAACTTTTTTTTATTTGAGATACGAAATTCTTATTTTCAATTGTCAAAGTTTCTCCTTTTCTCGCGGGTCTCTGTCCATAAAATATCTATTTTATTATAATTAACAATTATTTTTATTTGAGATACAAAATTGTTATTTTCAAATGTCAAAATTTTTTTTCTCCATTTCATGGGTCCTGTTATTATTTTTGTATAATTATTTGATAGAATTTAATTTATATTATTTTTTATTATTACAATTAAGTAATACATTTTAAATTTACATGTATATTGAAATAAAAATTATAGCATATTAAATAAATTTATTCGTACGGATGCATGAGTAACTTCCTAGTTGCTTCATCAACAATAAAATATGGTTACGATCCAAAGAAGAGAATGTGTGAAATAGCAAGTCTTGGTTAAAAGAAACATCGAGCTTGGTCATAAAGTCGGCACTTTGGTTTCTTTCATGGTATGTGTAGTTTAAATTAAAATGAATGTTTTCTTGTGACATTATCTTTATGGCGTGTTTGGCTTAGGAGAGAAGTTGTCAAAAGAGAAATAAGTAAGTAAGAAAGAGTATGCAAAGAGAGAAAAGAAGAGAAATATAATAGATTTGTGATATTGATTGGTATAAGAGAAAGATTTAAGAAATAGAAAAGATAGAAGTGTATTATGTCTCTTTCTTATTTCATTGAATAGAAATTAAAAGGAGAGAAATATAATTCTTTTTGAAATGAAAAAAAAAAAAACTTAATATATTGTTTCAATTGAACGTGAAATTGGTGTCATTGGTATAATATAATGTGTTTTTGCTCTTTTTACCACACATTCTTATTTCTTCGATCAACTGAGAAGGAATAAAAAGGTGGCAAGGCCCACATATTTTGTTTCTCTCCTCACAAGTTCTCTTTTATTCAATCAAGAGAAGTGTGGTATTGTTCTTGCTTTAGAAAAAAACATGAGAGAAACGGAGAGAGGAATAGAAAAGTGGATTGTAGTGAGACCAAAGAAAAGAAGAGATAGAAGACAATACAAATACAAATACTGATAAAAACATCAGTTTTGCAAAATAACTACATGTTAGGTAAGTAATCT